TAGTGTGTGTTTGATTGAAGGGTCACTTTATACATCGGAGGGCCTACTCTTATTTCCCACGGTCAACACTACAGCCACTCTCATTTTCTCCTTCTATTTGTTGTCCTTATCTCTTTCTTTTTCTGTCTTTTCTCACATCTTCTCTGTCTCTGATAAGAGCATGGATATCGTACTGAATCAGGATGTTTTTACGGATTTTCCAACACTAGCACTTTGCTATCAGTGTCAGCTGGAAAAGAGGGGCACTGTTGAGAGAGCGGGGTCAAACAGCTGTGTGTGTTTGTGAGTGTGTGTGTGTATATCTGAGACAGAAAAGAGAGAGAGACATGTTGAAGTGGTTGTACACGCCTAAATCTGGCTGCTCTTCGTGGCACTTTAAGCTTCCTTTAGAGTAACTTTTATTTTATTTTGCGGTTGTTTGTTTGGCATCGCTTCTTTCCATTTTCGATAAAAGCAGATAGATTTATAGATGGAGAGCAGGTAGGATGCAGATGATTAATGAGAAGTATGTCAATATAACAGTGGTACATTCTATAATCTACTTTCCTTGGGATTTGTTGTATACTTCAACGGTTCTCATTCAATCTCTCCATCCCCCTTTCATTTTCCTCCGTCCGTTCTTCATTACCTGTTCCTAGTTTCTTTGTTTCCTTCACAATCCCGTCTCTCTCTTTCTCTTAAAGCCCCAGATGGGTTGTTGCCTCCGTGTTTGACCCATGCAACTAGTTCCAGCCTGAATGTTTCCTGGTCCGCTCCTGCCCACTCCAACGCACCGGGCCCACTCCGTTACAGCCTGCAAATGAGGACATCCCCTCAGAGGCCTGGTGTAAGGTGAGAGAGAGATTAAGATGTATTTAGACGCTAAACAAGTGGATACATTTGGACACAGTTGTCCACAGCACATGCCAGTGGTGTGAGACAGAGGCATGCGATAATAAATGGCACTAAGAGAATGACAGACACATACAGCACTCTCAGATATGTATCGCATATATACGCACCTTAAAAAATGTGTACACACTCATATGCATACACATGTACATATAAAGGGCTACATTATACAGCACATCTGAATATGTCACATCAACATGACAGACCATCAGAAACACAGAGAGGATTTGAGTACGAGACACGGGGGGTAGAGTCAAAAAGACACAAGAAAATCAAAGAGCAGGGCAGAGAGAGACAGAGAGAGGTAGAGAAAATGTGATAGAATAAAAAGAGAGAGCGGGTGTGCATCTGATATGTATTCATTACATGCTTCCTGACAACAAATTGCAATTTAATCCAAGAAGAGGAGGCTCTCATTCTGTGGTAATAAATAAATGACTAGCTACATGTATTATATATCAGACAGCCATGCCCTCCTCCTCCTCTGCTATGGAAATCTCATTGTTCCCTGATTTATTCATTCATTCATCCCTTCTATCCATCTGATGCTAAATGGTCAACGGTCCCTCATTTATGACAATATTCTTTTATTTTGTTCCAGATTCCTTTGTAGGGTTATAGATAAGGGTTCAGGTATTAATATAATAAAAGCTGTACAAATACTTGACATGTTTCCAATTAAATCACTGTTAAGTTTCCTTATGAAACTTGTCCATTGACACTTTGATAACATTACATCTGAAGTACAATTCATTTAGAAATACATATTAGAGCACACCAAACAGAAACAACATACGTGGAAAGTGATATGATTGAGATGTATTAGTCTGCGATATAGAGTTACCACAAAAGCTTCGGTAAAAAAACGTTCAATAATGAATAGAAATTAACCACTTCGTTGTTCATATCTGTGCTATATTTATTTACTACCTTTGCATCTCGGACCAAAATTCCTTCACAATCCACCCTTAAATCCACACTGCATGTACACTATGATTCGCTAAAACCAAAAAAAGGGTTTCTCCATGTTATCAGCAAAAGTACAGGTCTGTTCTATATTTTAATGTTGTGTAACAAAAACATGCGTATGCGTATGTGTTACATTTCTGACTAGCAAATGTCATTGTAACCATGAACTGTAGAAATTACATTAGCTGACCAACACATCCTGGGGAGCTGTCTAGCGCTGAACCTCCATAATTAGGGATTCAAGAGCAAAAACAAGACATGAGGGTTAAAGTTTAAATATAAATGTAGAGATGAAGACAGTAACAAAATGTTTGTGCTCAGGACAAAGGGCATAGCAATGGTAAACTACACTTTGCTAAGTAGTGGTGAAAATGTGTTTTCAATAACATTTTTGTCATCAGTGTCAAGTCTTGCTAGGGATTCGCCCCAACTGCTTGGATTCACATACAAAAATAAACCCTTTTCTTGACAGTAATAATACAAATTATTGATCGACTAATTAATTGAGACGTGTTTTTCAGCTAATGTATGTTTCTCTCCTTTGACTCTTAGGCTTGTGGAAAACGCAACAGACACCTTTTCCTACCACGTAGAGGGCCTCTCACCGTTCACCCAGTACGTGTTCAGAGTGGTGGTCTCACACACTCATGGGCAGACAGTCGGGCCCTGGGCCACCCTGCGCACCGCGGAGGACAGTAAGTAGACTTACAGACACAAGTGCACACAAGAAAAACCTTATTCTCAGAGGCATGCATTTGTTTCAATGCACACATGCTCAAGAGACATTTTAAATAACTATAAAAAAGAGGAACTAACTTGTTGGTGGTCATATAAACACTCAGCACTGCTGTTATATAGAGTACCTGTTGCCATTGTTTTTTTCACAATGAATTGTGCGGCCTGGGTGCTTGTGTCAGCCAAGTTTTGCAAGTGACTGGCTGGCAGGTGGCTGTCAAAAGCTGGTTATTAGTTGGCCTCTGCCGTCAGTTGGTTGTTTGTGTGCTGAGTCAAAGTTAAAGTCCGGTTTTTCCAACAGATCTCCTGATTTTAGGTGATGATCTGAACAATAGGCTTTCACATTAAACATATGGCCTTGGAAAAGCAGAGCCTCTGCCCTGGCTCTCTTTTATTCTCTGGAAGTCTCCAGGGTTTTATCTCACAAAAGTGTATTACTTCCTTGCTGTTGGTGGAGGCGGTCAATCAATTAGAGAAAATTAGGAAGAAAGACAGAGACCAAACTTATTAAAAATGAAATTTAGGGACAAGCAAGTTAGAGTGAAACACGCTGACAGTGAGATTTGCATACTCTAAGGTGTGTGTCTGTGTGTGAGTGACCTAGCCAGTGTCATTGTGGGCTAATTGCTGTAATAGAATCATATTAGCCACTGGAACAGCCTCCTCAGTGCAAAGTTATAAATTAATTAGTACCACGCTATTATCACATACATTATCATTAAGCATCTGAGATTTGCATACATAGGATACATGTGCATGTATACACACATAAATGTGTATGTTCACATGTATGCGCGATGTATGCTATACATAAACACATTCACATGGACACAACACCGATGCATGCACACACAAATGCAGACACAAAATTGCAGACATTTAGGATACGTTCAATTATAGCCCTATGCTTTTCTCATTGCTATTCAGAATTGATTTCCCTGCAGCAAACATGCACAGAGATACACACACATACACACTCCTTCTCAAACATACTGAGCTTTTGTAACACATTCGTTCATGTTTTTAACCATCATAGAGATAAGTTGGGCAGTTGTGTACGTTTGTGAGTTTTCATGCAAGACTGAGAGGTGCGTGAATCTACATCCCTCTCACAGTGTGTGTGTGTGTGTGTGGACAGTAATAGATGTGTCCATTCGGTCACACTGTGCCCCATCGTTCAAACCTCCATCCCTCTCTCTGCCTCTCTCAGGCCCCCTCACACACACACATACACAGACACACTGAGAACATGTGTCATACACACACACCGCCTTGTCGTCCGTATCAATCACACATCTCCTCATGCTCACAAGCAATAACACATAATCATGAAGTTTCATGCAGACGAGGCTCATCACTAAAGCACGTACACACCCTCTGAGGCTGAGACATACGAACACTTTATCTTTTATGCTGCCAACTTCCATCTATTTTTATATGGAATAGAAGTTTAAACAAATCTACAAAATAAGACATAACCGCGCATCTATAAGCATAATCTGTTTCTGATTCTGATAAATCAATCATTTTAATAGACGTAGAGTACATAATACTACATGCGTCTTTTTTATGATTATGATTATTTATTTTTACATAATAAGAGAATACATGATAGGTGCGGAAGCTTTTAATCAGAAGGGATTTAAAACCATGACAGGAGAAAGCTAAGTGCGGCCCGATTGGGTTTTGCATTGATGTGTAATTTGTCGCCATAAACCCACCCTCTCTTCATCGTGGCAGTGACAGGAAAAGAACGGATGCATTCCTCTCCTAATCTTCTCTCCCACATGCTTGAAAAATATTAACTGTAGAAAGTAGTGCTGTAGCAAAATATCGTCGACGACATATTTCCGCGTCGACGCGTCGCTACACACACGTGGGTCACCCAAAGCAACAAGCAGTTCGCAATCGCACTTCAAACACAATGGAGACTGAAACGGCTACCACCTCCTCCTCACAGGATTGCGCACGAAGCCCCCAAACGAAAACATCTCGCCCTAGGTCTTCAAAAGCATGGGAATATTTTAAAGTTAGTCCAAAACGCAAAGATATTTATATATTTATATCTCACTGAGACTGCTGCATAGCCTAGCAGAAGCAGCAGCTAGCTGTGGTGGCTACCATTAGCAGCTAGCATTTGCTCTCCGATTTTTTACATAAAATGGAATTATCGATTATAAATGCAATCATTTTTTTATACATAGACGTTAAAAACCTATGGATTAACCGATTCAGCCGCGTTTTTTCTCATTTGAATGCCATTGAACACGTCTTTTGATCAGATTGACAGCTACGGTGGTAAGACGATCTCCCTAGAAGCTCTGTGAAGGTACGTGTTGTGATGACTGTATTTGCTTCCCCTGTCGCGAGTCCGGATCACTCAGGGATGATACTATATACCTACATAATCTGTGGAGTCTCAGTTTTAATCGGATATATTGTATGTGCAGCTACGATAAGTAATAAGGGTATAGAAAGCATTTTACTCTTTTTATTCAGTATAATAGCATTTATCGTTATACCAACAAACACGCATTCATTCAAGTTACATGTAACTTAAGGTAGATATACAGTGGGGCAAAAAAGTATTTAGTCAGCCACCAATTGTGCAAGTTCTTCCACTTAAAAAGATGAGAGAGGCCTGTAATGTTCATCCTAGGTACACTTCAACTATGAGAGACAGAATGGGGGGAAAGAATCCAGGAAATCACATTTTAGGATTTGTAATAAATTAATTGTTAAATTCCTCGGTAAAATAAGTATTTGGTCACCTACAAACAAACAAGATTTCTGGCTCTCACAGACCTGTAACTTCTTCTTTAAGAGCCTCCTCTGTCCTCCACTTGTTAACTGTATTAATGGCACCTGTTTGAACTCGTTATCAGTATAAAAGACACCTGTCCACAACCTCAAACAGTCACACTCCAAACTCTACATATGGCCAAGACCAAAGAGCTGTCAAAGGACACCAGAAACAAAATTGTAGACCTGCACCAGGCTGGGAAGACTGAATCTGCAATAGGTAAGCAGCTTGGTGTGAAGAAATCAACTGTGGGAGCAATTATTAGAAAATGGAAGACATACAAGACCACTGATAATCTCCCTCGATCTGGGGCTCCACGCAAGATCTCACCCCGTGGGGTCAAAATGATCACAAGAACGGTGAGCAAAAATCCCAGAACCACACGGGGGGACCTAGTCAATGACCTGCAGAGAGCTGGGACCAAAATAACAAAGGCTACCATCAGTAACACACTACGCCGCCAGGGACTCAAATCCTGCAGTGCCAGACGTGTCCCCCTGCTTAAGCCAGTACATGTCCAGGCCCGTCTGAAGTTTGCTAGAGAGCATTTAGATGATCCAGAAGAGGATTGGGAGAATGTCATATGGTCAGATGAAACCAAAATAGAACTTTTTGGTAAAAACTCAACTAGACGTGTTTGGAGGAGAAAGAATGCTGAGTTGCATCCAAAGAACACCATACCTACTGTGAAACATGGGGGTGGAAACATCATGCTTTGGGGCTGTTTTTCTGCAAAGGGACCAGGACGACTGATCCGTGTAAAGGAAAGAATGAATGGGGCCGTGTATCGTGAGATTTTGAGTGACAACCTCCTTCCATCAGCAAGGGCATTGAAGATGAAACGTGGCTGGGTCTTTCAGCATGACAATGATCCCAAACACACCGCCCGGGCAACAAAGGAGTGGCTTCGTAAGAAGCATTTCAAGGTCCTGGAGTGGCCTAGCCAGTCTCCAGATCTCAACCCCATATAAAATCTTTGGAGGGAGTTGAAAGTCCGTGTTGCCCAGCGACAGCCCCAAAACATCACGGCTCTAGAGGAGATCTGCATGGAGGAATGGGCCAAAATACCAGCAACAGTGTGTGAAAACCTTGTGAAGACTTACAGAAAACGTTTGACCTCTGTCATTGCCAACAAAGGGTATATAACAAAGTATTGAGATGAACTTTTGTTATTGACCAAATACTTATTTTCCACCATCATTTGCAAATAAATTCTTTAAAAATCAGACAATGTGATTTTCTGGATTTTTTTTTTCTCATTTTGTCTCTCATAGTTGAGGTATACCTAGGGTGACAATTACAGGCCTCTCTCGTCTTTTTAAGTGGGAGAACTTGCACAATTGGTGGCTGACAGAGGGATCCCTCCTCTGTTGCTCTCCCTGAGGTTTCTCCCATTTTTTCCCCTTAAACTGTGGGTTTTCTCTGGAAGTTTTTCCTTGTACGATGTGAGGGTCTAAGGATAGAGGGTGTCGTTTTTCTCATACTGATATTCTGAACAATCTGTGCTGTTGTATTTGCTGTAAAGTATTTCTACTGTAGGCTATTTTTATTTTATGTACAGCACTTTGGCTTGACCAAAAATCGTTTATAAATGTGCTATATAAATAAAACTTGATTTGATTTGACTAAATACTTTTTTGCCCCACTGTATATGCATTTTTGGAATTCGGTGTTTAGGAATTGTCCCCTTTTGGAGTTTCCATAAACCTGATCTGTTGTAGTTGTAAGATGTCCACTTTGTTACTAAACTGTTAATAATATATGGTTTGTTGACATGGACCTTTATTAACAATATGGATTTGAGTATATGTTCACCTCGTTAATTTGATCCCTTCTCGCTTTTATGGCTGTTTTTATTTTTTTATTTTTTTCCCTCTGTCTTTCTACTTTTGTCTTACTTCTTCCTTTTTCCTTCTTTCGCCAACTCTTTGTGCTCAAACATGAAAGACAGTGCAGGTTTTAGCTCTTGTATTTGACGGACCAGCCCTTAAGAATTTACAAGTGATAGAAGTGATGAGAGATCGAGGAGAGAATATAGAAAAAAACAATATAAGAAATGGAGAGAAAAAATGGTCTGAAAAGAGAAATGGAGGGGGCAAAAAGGTAAAATGAGGAATTGTGGAAAAGACAGGAAGAGAAGAAAAGAAAAAGGCTAATGACAGAACAGAGAAAGAGGGAGACCCACGCTTCCTCCTTTCCTTTTTATCATTCCATTAAAGTTTTATATCCATCTTTTTAATGTAATTTGGTCCCTATGAATTCCTGCTGCTGCAGAACAGACAGACGGCTCCTGTGAACATAAACTCTAGCCGTGTTGGACAGCTCCCTTTCCTCTGTCTACTCCCATGTTCACACAGGCCCAGTGATCTAAGAAAGTGTGTGTGTGTGTGTGTGTGTGTGTGTGTGTGTGTGTTGTGTGTGTGTGTGTGTGTGTGTGTGTGTGTGTGTGTGTGTGTGTGTTGTGTGTGTGTGTGTGTGTGTGTGTGTGTGTGTGTGTGTGTGTGTGTGTGTGTGTGTGTGTGTGTGAGCGTGTGTGTGTGTGTGAGTGAGAGAGTGTGAGAGAGAGACGTGTGTGAGACGTGTGTTATGGGAGAATGAATAAAGCACAATTTTGACAAAATGATCTTAGCCAAGCAGTCTAGAAAGAAAGAATGTGTGTGTGTGTGTGTGCGCGAGAGAAAACATTAAAGAAGCACTGTTTTACTTCATTTAATTTAAAGCAGAAAGTATGAGAAAGAAGACATGTGAAAGAGGGGAAAAAAAGAAATTAGGGTAGAGGTAATGACAGGACACAAAGAGTCCCTGTTATTTAATGATTGAGTGACTGCATTAATAAAATAGTAATAATCCTACCTTTTCTCCCAGAATTCAGTTAGTGTTCCCAATGAAATGTGGAAGTAATGTTAACACAATCCCATTGCTATTTTGCATATCAAGAGATAACTTGAATATTTTAAGTACAGTTTTATATTCTCATTGTATGTACCTATATTTGCACATTGCTCTTTTAAATATACTGTAAGAACCAATATAAAAATAAACATGTGTGTTAATTCCTCACCAGTCACATATCTTCCGTAATATTTTGAGAATGTATTTACTCAGGTTCCCTTCTATCTAACCCACACCAACATATTTCAACATTTTATTTTGAAAGCCATATAATACTGTGAACTTTATCTTTTCTTTCTGGAGTACATAAATACATCAGAAGGTTATCTGGAATTAAGTAAATCACTCAAAGTAGTCAGTGTCTGAGAAGGGTATTGAATATTTTTGAGTGATTGATGTTTCAGGTATTGTGATGGTCGTAGTTACTTAAAGGCTAATGTACTTCTCATATGTACTCAGGATGTTATGGATACAAATCAAGCTCATGACCTTGGTCATGCATCATCCTCTTTCTGAATGCCTCTTCAGCGTCTCCTAAAGCAGCCATGATATTAAATAATCTGCAGAAAAAGTAAAGATATGAAATGCAATGTAAATTCCCGCCGTATTACTTGTCACGTTTTGACACCGCGTCGTAAGCATCTTGATTACACTGAAGCTCAGCGTTTGTCCTCATTATGACTCCGAGGAGCCTCAATTCACCTTCAAAATCCCAGTCACCCACATACACACATGCCCACAAACACATGCACACACATGGCCCTGTGCGGGGCTAAACATAATACCCTTCCTTTTCCCGTCGCATGGATACTCACAGATGTACACACTTACTTCCAAACAGGCTCTTACATACAAACATAAGCACACAAATATGTACAAAAAGCTACGTAACATGCAGACGAATCTACATGCAGACAAACACCTACACACACACACACATACATACACACACACACACACACACACACACACACACCCATGGACACACACTCCTTCCTCCCTCCCCCTCTCCCAGCCCTTGTCAGTTGATTGTGTTATTACTATGCTAACCAAATCCTTATAAATGTGATTTAAGGCTTGGCGGCCCCGCACTCCTGTTTTAGCCTTCTGCTACTGTGTTTTACTGGAGAGAGGAGGAGTAACAGTGGGAGGTGTGGAGGGAAGAAAATGGGAGAGGGTAAGGAAGAGATAAAGGCATAAGGAATGAAGACAAAACACAAAGGGGGGAGAGAATAAGTCAGTGGGAGACAATGGAAAAGAAGAGGAACTGGAAAAGGGAGGATGAGTTGAGCGGGACAGAGAGGAAGAGGGGAAAAGGAGTTAAGGAGTCAGGAAACCATAGAGAGAGAGAGCAGTTGCTACGCATTCCCTCAACACTCGTTCCCTTCTATCCAGAGAGCAGTAAAGCGTCAGTAAAATAAAAAAAAGGGAAAAAGCATCACCTGCATCTTAAATGAAAATTTCAATTGAAAAACTTAACAGCCCTTCAAATTGCAGAATTGTACACGCGCCAGTAAAGCCTAAATAACACTCAACACTTAGATGGAGAGGGGGAGGGGAGGAGAGGAGAGCAGGAACGAGGGAGGAATCGAGGGGTGACAACAGCGGTTATTTTGGGTGGTTGACGGGGGCTGGATGAAGGTGACTTGATTATGGTTCTGCAATTTAGGATTTTCCTCCGCGATCTTCTTTTTTTGGATCTCTTACCTGTGTGTTTTTACGTCTGTTGGAAGAGACCTATTCTGATCAGACAGACACAAGGAAATAAAGTTAGATAAACATTAGGTGGCTGAATTTCTAATTAATTTGACAAACACGTAAAAAGGCTCCTCAGCCGTCACAAAGCGGGCAGAAAGCAGTGAGGCGCGCAGACAGGCCGGCAGATAGGCACATGGACAGACAGGGAGACGGGCTCCTTGGTTATTCGTGGGGTTCAGTGGACCTTTGGTGGTAATTGAATCAGTGTGAGTGCTGAGTAGAGCTAGCATAAAAACCTGTTAACCCAAAAGGTCAACTCTCTGCATTGTTTATTTAGCAGGGAGACCAGAAAGGGAGAGAGCGGAAGAGGGAAAGAGACCGCCACACAAAGCACGAGTAACAGAGAGAGACAGGAGAAAATGAAAGAGGTGGTGGGGGAAAGGGACGGGTCAGAGAAAGGAAGAGAAGAAGGAAAAGACAGACAGGTGGAGAGATGTAGATGGAAAAAAGATGGGTTGTTGGTTGGACTCTTTGTGATCTGTAAAATCAGCCAAGCTTCACATCCTCATTTTTATACTGCTGTTTATTTGTGTGGGAGATAGAAAAATGTGTGTGTTTGTGAGTGTTTGTGTGTGCATGACCGCTGGGATTGTAATGTACTGTATCTTTTAATATTTGTGTAATTTTTATAATTTTGTATCTTTAATTTTTTTTCTTTCTGCTGTAACAATGTACATGTCCCCTCTGTGGGACTAATAAAGGTATTCTGATTCTCTGATTCAGATTTTCTTTTGATTTGCCTCTCTCTGTGTCTGACTCAATAGTTTGTTAGTTTTAGCACACATGGTCAAACTCCATAACAGTCTTTTGTTACATAGCCTTACTGATCAGTTAAAAGACAGTGTTTTTTTCAATCATGAGGATCCATCTGTCAATCCACCAACAAGATTTTCAGAAAGATTTCAACTTTGAAAAAAGTTTACCTGCTTTCTTTAGTTTTTGAACATTTTAAAACAGCTTAATATACCAGTAAACTTAGACTATTTAAAAGCATTATACTTAGATACATTTTAAACTTTTAGGAGTGGTGCAAAAACGGAATGTTAGTTGGCCTCTAAGGCTGTATGAAGTACGGCCTTTCAGTTTGTAGTTGCAAAATACACCCATTCTTACACAACTGCATGTGCACGCTAGTAACTTACACATTCACATCCTCGCACACTTTATCTCTCACACAATCATGCATGCATACGCTCAACCGCTCGTCTTGTTTCACCCTCTCTATGTCTCTCTCTTACACACACACACATACACACACGCACCGCCATCTGGGAAAGCCGTTAGCGGTTAGCGGTAGCACTTAGCGACGCAGCACGCTCCCTCAGTCCGCTCAGTCACCTTGATCTGCTTGCCCTTCACACAGCACCATTACTGATATACTGCATCGCTGTGGGTGTGGGCATGTGAGTGTGTGTGTGTCAGGAAGAGTGTGTGTCTACGTATACCGACATGCATCTGTGTGTGTCCATTATAGAGCAGTACAGTGGGATGTAAATGCTGGGGGAGGAGGGGGAAAGGGGCATTACCTTCAAATGAGGTACTGTGGAGTGAAATATCACTCACTGACTAGTCTTGTGTAGGTTCTTATCCGTGCATGGACATGTAGAAATCGTATGACTATGTGTGTGTTCCTTTGGGCTTCTGATGTACATCTATGTTGGTCTTACCTCTTATACTAGTGAGGATCACTTCAGCTTCTGAACATAAGAATTGAAGGCACAGCTGTGTTTCTGCAGAACAATGTCTTGTTATACATTTGCAACCAATTTTTGTTTCCTGAGTTAAGCAATTGCCATAAGTTATTCTCAAAATCTAAAATTATTCCATCTAACTTAAAAAGTATATGACTGACCTGCACATCACCTCCGGAATCCTCTGCTGGAGGATGCACAGACTCACATTCAAACAGTCACGGGTAAAGCATAAATCCATAAATACAATCTTGGTTTGCTCAGGGGTAGGAAATTGAGAGCGAAAGAGTTTCCATGTTAATCCCTTGGATAGGGATGGCAAAATCACTCTTTGTCCTTCTGATGTCATTCTTGATGTTACTTGTCAAATAATGCTTTAGAATAAATCCCCCTTCAATTTTTTCTCTCAATCTCTTATTAGCACACACAAAGAATATATTTATCGCCTGTCTTTTTTTCTATTCCTTATGGCATCCCTTTATCCATTTATTTTTCTTTGCCTCCTAGGTCCAGGACCGGTGGACCCTCCAGCTGTTTCTGAGCTCCATCCCCGAAGTGTAATAGTAACCTGGGTTCCTCCCTCCCAACCAAATGGCATGATCACCAATTACACCTTGTACCTTTACCCGAGCTTCATCTCTTCTTTAGATTTCAAACCCAGCTCAGTCTCCAGCACCAGCACGACCCTCAGCTCCACATCAGGTCTTAACCAGAGCCTAATGCCCAGCACTGAGGCTGCACATCTCAACCCAAGTCATGACATAATTTCAACATCCGTTCCTCCCACCCCAGACTCAAGACCTGTCTCCATGTCTACCATCAACACAGGCAGTAATAACAGCTTAAGCACCATCCAAGGCACAAGAACAAAACTGATCCCTAAGCCTTTCTCTAGCATGAGGCCTGGTATCACAGAGGAAAACCAAATCGAGTCCACTGGTGTAAGCAATACAAGCCAAGGCCCAACTTTCATCTCCTTCCACCCAATTCAAACCAATACAGCCACTGAAAACCAAAGCTCCAGTGTTTCACTCTCACACCCTGAACCCAATGCCACCAGCTCTGAAAATATTCTAAAACAAGACTCATTCCAAAGCCCTATTTCCAGTTTATATAGTGCAGCATTAGATTCAAGTTCATCCCGTCTGTCAGTCATTGTTCCCGGGAACACCACCAGCTACACTTTCCTCGACCTGCTGCCATACCAGACCTACCGCCTCCAGGTACAATACATAAGAAATATACAAAGGTAGAACACGATAGGAGATGAACAGTGTAATATATTTAACATTAGATTATGCAATTATGAAAAAAACATTTAAATACAATTATAATGTTAAAATGAAACACATGTCAGTCTGTATTCGTCTCTTATTATGCTATGGTGAATTTAAATTCAATAATAAAAATGTTAGGCAAGGCAAGTTAATTTATATAGCACCTTTATTTATATAGCACCTTTCAGCATGCGACAATTCAAAGTGCTTTACAAAATAAAAGACGTTTAAGAATACAGCAGAAACACATTATATAATGGCATTTTACAACAGGCATTTAAAAAGCAAAGATAATAAATGAAGCACAACACTTATACAATACATGAATAATATACAATACTAATTATAAAAGTCATGTGTTTCCAGTCACAGATGACACTGAATTTCCTTATTCACAGAACTCTTGATTGTCCTTGTTTCCACTCGAATATGTATGGTAGCATGCCAGTGATGGTTTCCCAATTTTAATTAATCATGTGCTATCATTTGGAGATGTATTAACTGCAAATAAACATCTAGCAATATAAGTACAAAACTAAAACTGTAATATGTATATTACAATTTACTGTTGCAGTACATCAGATATTTCAACATTATTCTCCAACATCCAGGTGGAGGCCTGCAGCAGTGTGGGTTGTTCAGTGTCTGAGATGTCTCAGGAATTTCGTACCCTCCCAGCTCCACCTGAAGGGGTTCCTGCGCCTCACCTTTACTCAGACACCCCCACCTCTGTTCTTTTGTCCTGGGGAGCACCGGAGTCGAACAATGGACCATTAGAGCGGTGAGATATGATCACATACATACCGCTTCAACCCCTCCATGATCTTTTTATTTATATTACATTGTGCTGGGCATAGGTGGCTGATTGAGCGAAGAGTTGCTGGGACCAAACAAGTCTCCACGGTGGGCCATCTCCCACCGGACCCTCCACCTCTGTCATTCCTGGACTCTTCTTCAGCTCTCAGTCCCTGGACCAGCTACCAGTATCGACTTGTGCTCCACAATCAGGCTGGCAACACCACCGGTAGGATCATAATAATCGACTATAAATTCAATCTGAACAACATGTCCATAAGTTGCTTTTTAGATTGCCTTTGGCCAGCTTCACAAAATGTACAGTTTTACATGAAACTTGAGGATTAATACTACCAGTGTTTGTTGTTTCACAGCAGGCTCTTCAACCACATTCTGTTAAATTCTTGCAGGGCCCTGGGTCAATATCACCACCAGACCTTCTCGTCCAGCCGGACTCAATCCACCAAGAGTGAAGGTTTTGGGGCCACAGTCACTTCAGGTATGGGCACCTTTTTTTAAGCTGACTTCTCTCCAGTTCTTAAAAGCCTCCTGGATTTGGCATGGTGGCCATAGCCACAATAGATTTTATCTATTCTTGATCGGCTGAACTCAAATAATGTAATCCATGTCCACCATGCTGCTATAGTTAATAATCACAATATCACTTGTTGTTTCAGGAGCTCTGTTTGAGCTTTTAGAATTGAAAACATGTCTTAGAGTAAAAATATAACGAAAAATATAACACAACTTAATTCACTCAGAGTAGAAAAGACAAAGCAATGTCATTTTGATTCCTCTGTCTTTCCTTCTTGGGATTTAATGAGAAAGAAAAACATTCAACTCAAGGTCCCCTTCAGAAAATAGGATGGGCTGTGACCCTGTCTGAGGAAGCTTCCTTCCTGTCGGCCATTTTGAAGGAGGGGCCACAGTTAAGTTCCACCACTGGCTAATCCCACATCAAGGCCCATCAATGAAAGCCACTGAAACAATATTGTATGCATGCACACACAGATATGCACACACACACATGCACTCATAGCCCTGCACTAATGCTAACTGCAGAAAAATGCTAATGCCTGTCATCATTTCAGAACCGCCCCTGTCATCTCTGCAGCAGCACAGCTTTAGGGGTCATAGGTCCGAGAAGAAAAGTGTTCCTTCCTGGTTGTTGCTAATTGGACAGACAGGCAGGCTGCTTCCTGGTTACCAATTGACCTTGACAACACAGACAGGATTTTTGAGTAACTCCCTTCATTCTCTAAATGGCATCTTTTTGATATCACTTCTTGCTCATAGGGGTATTCACTTTATTTTTTTACTATTTCTACCTTTTTTTAAATGTATTTTTACTACACATAGCGATAAAAAGGCGGATAACGCAGACACTGCACAGAGTTTTGGTATAAATCATATACAGTATCTGAAAAGGTCAGCACTTTAACATATGGCTTCTTCTTTGTTATTTGTTCTTCTTGATTCTTTATTTAGGGTTTTAATAAGTTATTATTGCAGTAACGACTATTCTTACGAGGGTCCACATACAAGAAAAGACTTAAAGATTGTTTCTCAGTCACATCTAAGAGTATTTAAGTTTCTCACTTATTCTATCTCTGCCAATGTAGTTATGCCTTTGCTGATAGCTACCTAGTTAGTTACCTAGTTAGTTATTCTAAAGGCATATTGATACCCTTTAATACAAACCATTAATTTGATTTTGCCCATTTGGATCTGTAACCCATCAACACAATTTTTCAGAAAAGTATATTCTAAAACAAGACTCATTCCAAAGCCCTATTTCCAGTTTATATAGTGCAGCATTAGATTCAAGTTCATCCCTTCTATCAGTCATTGTTCCCGAGAACATCACCAGTTACACTTTCTATGCTGTCAGCTGCAGAGGTTTTCTGAACATAATGGCCTACATTCGGAAAGACACACACAAACACACACCTTTTCTCTCTCACCACCTGCTTAATCAATTCTCTCTCTCTCTCTCTCTCTCTCTCTCTCTCTCTCTCTCTACTCTCTCTCTCTCTCCTCTCTCTCTCTCTCTCTCTCTCTCTCTCTCTCTCTCTCTCTCTCTCTACTCACTCATATACACATAAACGCATAAACAAACACAAACCACAAACACACACACACACACACACACACACACACACACACACACACACACACACACACACACACACACACACACACACACACACTGGCCTTAGCCCCAGTGCTCTGTGTCAGCCCCGGGTCTCTGCTGTCTTCACCATCTCCAGATTACATCAAGCTATTCAATCTGTAAATGACTTCCACCACAAAGCACACCCAACACGCACTTTGGGAAATGAGCTGCCTAACTCAACATGACCCTGCCCATATGTGGTGGTGTGTGTCTCCGAGTGTGTGTGTGTGTGTGCGTGTGTGTGTGTCCTGTATCACCTCACAGCGTCACTTGTTAAATGAATATCAAGGTTGCATGAGAAATAATTATTCTTGACGTTCATTCATAATACTCTCATCAACATTGACCGCTTAATCACCTGAACGCATAAGTCTCAACAAGTGCTAAACTGATCAGTTATTGTACATGACAGTTTGTCTCCATAAGTGTGTTAGAAGTTAGAACACAGGTGTGTGTTTGGTGTTTGTAACGCAAAGGTATAACTGTTTGTATGGGCATGTGTGTTAAAAACAACATTGATCACATAGATATCTGTCATTCAAATATGTAGAGTTGTGTGTGTGTTTATAAGGGTGTGTGTGTGTGTGTGTGTGTGTGTGTGTGTGTGTGTGTGTGTGTGTGTGTGTGTGTGTGTGTGTGTGTGTTACCTTCATCTTCACTCTGAAATGCTGACAGACTGAACTGTTTCCAAATCAGATGCAGTGCTCAACGACAGCAAGCTTTTGTTTTTGCATGCAGCAATTCCATTACCAGCCGTTTTCATTATTTTAGCATAGTGTTCGTGCGTGTGCGCGTGTTTGTGTGTATGGGTGTACCCGGTTTTAAATTTGATGAAAGGAATCTTCTGCTGAAGTCAAAGTCAGGTTATCTTTCCCCACAAGAGAGTTTGACACACACACACCCATTCTTTAAATTCACATACCAAGGCGACAATGTACGCACGCATGGACACTACTTTCACAATATCACTTCTAGCACTCAACTGAACACACATGCATTCCTACTGTGATGCACATAATAGGTTTGCATGAGCACATCTGCAAGCTTTGCACATGCACACACATAAACACACACACAGTGTGCCATGACTTCCTGTAGTTCATCCATATAAAAGCTTTCTGCCATCCTCAGCATGCCGAGAATATTCAGAATGTCCAGCCAACCAATGAGATGACTTTTCTGGGATAATGTTAGGACAGTGAGAAAGGATTAGATGAACTAGACCTTTGGTTTTCTGTGCACTTCAACCCTGATTATCCAAATAAGATATTGTATATGAACAACCAAGAACTTTAATACAACATCCTTATCCTTATTGAATTGCAGGTCACATGGTCCCCTCCTCTTATTCCCAACGGAGAAATCCATGGCTATGAGATCCGCCTCCCAGAACCCCGCATCTTCCATGACAGTGGCAATGCTTCGGCACTCAACATCACAATAAAGGACCTTATTCCATACACAAACTACAGTATCACTTTGTTGTCTTGTTCCAATGGCGGTGGACATGTAGGGGGATGTACAGAAAGCCTGCCCATGCCCGCTACCACATTACCCACAATCCCTGAAGGCCTTGAACCCCTGTCTGTGGTGGCAGTGAGTGAGTCCTTCCTGGCTATTTCCTGGCAACCACCAAGCAGGCCCAATGGACCTAACATCAGGTAAGATGGATAATAAACATAATCCATATCAAAGATGGCTCAGTTACATTGTATGAGACCACTGAGAGATCACTTGGTCACTTTAGATGGATGTCAACATTGTTGTTCACTATTAGTTAAATGTATATTGGTAAAACACTGATATGCAAAGATAGTAGTTATGAAAAGCCAATATAAGTAGACATTGATCAGTGTAATCATTATAACTTTGAATAACTTTATTCATTTTACATAACTTTATTCATTAGTTAAAAGAACAAAATTAGAAACCCAGCAGCCGAGACGCTACAGCATGTTGTTTTTGAGAGACACATCCTGGTGATGTTCAATTGTTGTTGAAAAACTTCAGCAAACAAGCTGATATGTACACCTTAACAAGCTGCTAACATGAGTGCCCTGGTAATGAGCTAAGTGTTGTGTATTTTTTAATCAGTGTTTTTTCAGTCCTAATGCACATTCTGGTCTGTTTTGTTCTTTCCTGTTCTACTCTGTCGGTGATTAGGCCTAAAATAAAGGTCCATTTTTCTGGCAGGCCATTAAAATGCATGAGCCCATCTCTCTGTTCTGCTCTGCTCAGCTCTGTGTGTTTGTCTAAGTGGGTTTGTTAAAAGGCGGCATTAAGCCCTTCTCTTCTGATTACAGCAGAAATTAGCATCACTGTGGGGAGAGGAAAACACAAACCCTGCAGAAAAAAAAACAACAGAGGGAGGGGCGTCGGGAGGGAGGGGTGAGATACAGTGAAGCAAAATAATAGAGATGATGAAAAACAGCAGAAGCGGAAGAAATGAGCGATAAGCAGAAGAGTTAGTAGAAAATTGTGTTTAAAGCGTGTTTTGTGTGTATGCATATGTTTATTGCTTTGTGGGTACAGTGTGTCTGTGTCCTCATGTTGGTTCATGTGGGAACATGTGTTGGGTGTTAATGCATTCCTAAACATCCAACCATGTGTGTGTGCTTTTCTTTATTCAAATTTCCCCTTCAGATACAAGTTGCTCAGACGTAAAACCCACCAGCCCCTGGCCATCGCCACGGTCCCCACGGTAACAGCCGTGTCCCCTCCCCCCTCTGAAGATCTCCATCGCTGGCTCCATGTTTACTCCGGCACCAAATTGTTCTACCAAGATAAAGGCCTAAGCAGGTGAGATTACTGAAATGAGCTCTAGAGCAAACGCCGGCGCTGCAGCAAACCGTGTGTGCAGAGCCGATCGGCGAGCTGCCGCTGATGCCGATCTTTTAATACCGCTCAAAGATACATTAAGCAAATATCCCAAAGAATTAAATTGTTTTTCACACAGCGTCCCCTAATCTCAGTTTGGCACTTGGTGAAAGCTAATTTTGTTTCCCCTCTATGCTTGCTAAACGGCTCTGGGTGTAGTCTGTTTGGGTTTGTGTCTCTACTGTGCTTTATTTCAGTATTAAACTGACAAACTTTTGAACGTGTCAGCTCTTTTCACTTTGCAGGGTTTTATTATTCATGTCCTAGGAATTACTTTATGAGAATGTAATGTTTGTTTAATAAGAAGTCACTGTACTGTTTAAACAGGATTTACAGAAACTTCTTATGGTAGATGCGACTGAAATTATGATTCCACATAAAGAGCATCACTAACAAATCTAGTATGTCTCTAAATTCCTTCGATGAAGAAAGGATTCAGGTGTACCAGGAAAATGACTTTATTAGCTAATTTGGAATGATTGACAGAAAAATATGTATTTGTTCACCCTTTTATTACATATTTTCCAGCAGCATTAGAAGCTTTTAACTTTCAAGGAAAGTAAGAGTTCTTGTAGCCATCTTATCAAAAACACCAATATTGTCTGTCAACAGATTCACCCATTACCAGTACCAGTTAGAGGTTCATAATGACGTGGGCTACTCTTCAGGAGAGATTGTTGAGGCTGTCACCATGGCGGGGGTTCCCCACCACCCTCCATCTCTGTCTGCCCACGCTGTCAATCACACTGCTGTCCAGGTCGACTGGACACAACCCTGTAAGATCACCCTGTCTCTGAAACACACACTCTGCCCAACAAATTGTTTTCTGACTTGACAATTGCCAAAAAGTGAAAATAGAGACTAAAAACAACATTTTTTTTTTTTTAACTTCTCGTTTACACTTATCTCTTCATATGTTTTTCAGCTTTGCAAGACCTACAGGGAGAGGTGGATTCGTACTTTCTGACAATAGCATCTGCACAGTCAAGTCAAAATGTGTCCTTTCCCCGTGAGATCGTCTCCACAGTGATAAGTGATCTTTGGCCCAGCACCACATATGTGTTGTCAATTCAGGTGTCAAACGGAGCACATAATACAACAAAGGCATCAGTAAACGTCACCACAGAAGATGGAGGTAAGTGTATATTTGTGTGAAATTTGTCCAACAATTGATTTTAGAAATCAATTAAAATGTGCTTTCTTCCTTGGATGTTATTGTGCGCAGACTCTATGTATATATGAGTGTGTCACATAGTACGTAAATTCAATACATCCAAGAGAGGGGTCTGTGTTAATGTGCATTTCTCTGCAACTCTGTGCCTCACAGGAGATGTTAAACACATCATGTAGTGAGGCATGAAATCAATACAAAGTGTGTGTGTGAGGCAGATTTAAGGTGTTGTAAAATGCTTGTTGGCACCACAGGCAGACAAACGCTTGCAAACTGCACACATAGCTACACACACACATGCAGTATTTTACCTGTCAAACAAGACAGCAAACATGGCTGTTCCCATGTGTAATGCAGCCCATAATTACTGTACCCAATACAATTACAATACATCACTCAATCTGTAATATGATTTATATATTTTAAATAAATCTATGAAAAATAAATACAAGTGAAATCATAGACATCCCTCTGTCTTCCACCTATGAAAGGGTCATCAATATAACACATTGTTAAAAGAGCTTAAGCTGTCTCTGCATCATTTGACAATATTTGTATAATTAACCACTGACATTGTTTATCAGAGTGTAAAATCCGCAGCTTTGGGAGGGTGTATTAAATACAATATGGAAAAAGAATATCAGTTATCCAATCTACTGGTATTCCACTTTTCAGGCAGGGTTGGCTTTTATATTTAGCTGTGAATTGCACAGGCTATCCAACTGTCATCACGACTTTTCTCTCCATTTCCCTTTCCAACTTCCAGTCTCTCAGCATTTAAGAGTTAGCTTTCAAATAAGTCGATGTAATCATATGTCAGAGGCCGTGCACTCTTTCTGTTGTTTTCTTTCCGTCTACTTTTCTTTTCTCAATCACTCTTTCTGACTATCTCTGTCTCTTTTCCCCCCTCACATTTCTATTTCTTTCTCAATATGATCATATGTCAGAGGCCTCTCACCTTCCCTCTAATCTGAGCAGTATAATAAAAAGTGCATTAAAAACATTAGAAAATCATTAGGTGCTAAAGGCAAAGCACGGCTCGTTTAACTGAGAGGGCTCTGGAGGTAATTTCATTATTTTACAGCCATAAGAGTGCACACACACACACACACACATAGACAAAGGCCAAATATATTTTACCTAATGCAGCTCAACCCTACCAACCGTCCTAACACGGCCTGCCATCTATAGGGCATCAGGACTAATTGGCAAGAAAAATGAGCGAGCGTCTGTGTGTGTATGAGTGAAAGAGGCTCAGTGTGCAGTATTGCGTTGATAATGCCATCCTGCAGTAAATGAAATGTAGAGCAGTAGGTTGGGTTAAGGTAAGTGCATTGGCAGCAAATGAATTGGGTTAACTTCTCTTAGCTGAGTGCATTTTCACTTAGAATAATAGATGGAGTCTGTATGATTACCTTCTCACGCGCCATCTCTCGTATTATTTCCTTCTGTTTGGTTCTCTTTCCTTTTTTCGACACAAAACTTGATCCCCATTATTAAAAAAAGTTAAGTTTCAGGATATTCTGTCTCCTTTCTCCCACTGTTCTTCTTTAAACTTGTGCACACTGTATATCTTCTTTCACAGATTATCTGTACTTGTCCTCTATTTGTCAGATGTTCCAGTGTCCTTCACTGACTGTGTCATTCACTCCTTCCTTGTTGCCTCTGTATCTGCAACTCATGTCCTACAGGGTAGCCACATTATATTAATCACCATAGGAGTTTTTGGTTTGGTATCATTGTCCTCTGTGGATGTGCTGAAAGAGGATTTCTTGGAGGACTGATCTAAGGGAATTAAAGGAAGACAGGGAAATTGATTGACAGGACATGTAGGAAACAGAATGAATATAATAACACAACACAGTGTCATTCACTTCTGCCTATAAGAAAGAGAAAAAGTGCGGGGGCGAGCTGATCGTGCAGAATCAATCTATTACTCTTAGTGAAAATGCACTCAGGTAAGTGAAGTTAATCCAATTCATTTTCTGCCAGTGCACCTACCTAGTATATCCAGCCCACTGCTCTACATTTCATTTACTGCTAGATAGCATTATCAAGGATATACTCCACACACACACAGACACACAGGTGGTCTCCCTCCCTCACTGACACTCAGACTCACATTCAACCTTAGTACGGTCTAGATTTGCTCTTTGTGAAAACTGTTGTGATAACTTCTGTCACTATATGGCGCTATATACATAAAACTTGACGTAAATACACTGTTTTTCTCTATTTGTTACACACACATTACTATAAGCTGTGTGTGTCCATCTATATTTCTTTCCCTTTCACATACTCATGTATAAACATACCTCAATTAAGGGATGGTTAAACATGTAGGCCTAGATCGAGAATGTGACATGTCTGTTATAAAACATCATCAGTTGGGGACCAGAAAGTCACAATATATCATTTTAATATGGCCAATTTATTACTTTCACAAGCCTGTCTGAGTGATAGGTTTTTGTATGAAAATAAATTACAAGCACTGTGCAAGCACTTGTTAATTTTTTTGAAAATCATAATAGAAATCGCATATTTTGCAACCCTGTGATGACATTACTGCATCTCTCAAGATACTCTAAAAGCTAACATGTGTTTAGCTGAGAACAGTATCATACAACAACCTAACCATGCGTGTTTGAGGATGACCATGTCTAATTTATTTGTATTCCTGCCTATTAAAGCCCTGTTCTTTAAGAATCAAACTACTTTGTGTCTCTGTTCTCACATGTGCCATCCTCAGAGCCAGAAGGGATGTCGGCTCCAGAGGTGGTTCCAGTTAACAGCAGCACAGTGCGTGTGCTCTGGTTCCCTCCTCTACAGCCCAATGGAGCAGTCACTGGTTACTACATCTACCTGAATGACCTTCTTCATGGCAGCGTAGACAACAGCTCAGGATCCTACCTGCTCGGGGACCTGATGCCTTTTACTGTCTACAACGTACAGGTACACACACAATCAAAGAATATTGAAACACCTAGATGCAGACACAGAGGCATATGCATTATGTTTTCTTCTGCTGCGTTTGTGTATTTCAGGTAGAGGTGTGTACTGTGTATGCATGTGTGCGGAGTAATGTTACTCAAACCACCACTGTGGAGGACCTGCCTGCCGACCTGGCCACGCCGCACGCACATGTGATCAGTCCCAGGTAATACAGATTGTGCTGAAAATATGTATCTTTTCAATGTCACTTTCTGCGTGTCCTCTTTAGCATTGTGCTAGGTTTGGAAAGTTTATAGCCTTTTGTTTGATTGTAGAAATTGTTAATGTTTATTGGCAATGCAAACAGAATCAATACATGTTATTATTGTGTCTTCTTAAGGCAGCACAATATGTGAGATTGTGTGGAACAGGACATTAAATACTGTGTTATTGCTTAATTTCAGTTAAACTAAAACTCTGTGGGCAAAGGGCCTACACATTTTTTAATGTCCCTTGCTTAAAAACATATAGCCATTGAAGACACAGTGATTGTTATTCATTTTCAGTAGTATTTTGAGATGTAAATACTAATATAAGTCATTTCTGATTAACAGTTTATCATCAAAATATGATGTAAAACTAATGACATTCAAAATGCTCTGCTTTCCATGTTTGACCTAAATCTTAATGTTGCAAATCTTCCAGTTGTGGAGGAAGTAGTGATTTGTGGCTTTCCTCCTGTCCAGGAGACTGTGGAAGTTGTAACTGTATGTTACTACACAAGTCTTTCCCCTGCCAAAGATGTCAGAGATAAAAAAAAAGTCAAATCAATAGTGAGAAGTGTATAAAGACATACTGTACACACACCCTGACACTGTAACTCAACTTTGTCAGGCATTAACCATGCATGAATGCAAGTGTGTTGGTTTGGGTATGACAAAGTTTGTGTGTGCCTTCTGGGTGTGAAAGGAGTGTGAAGGATAACATACCACCATGAATGATCGAAGCAAGTGATGAAGAGATTCTAATGAGGGATGATAGGGCGGAGACTAGCACGGGAGAAAGAGAGTACGTCAGAAGAGAAGATTCTAGTCAGAAGCAGGAAGAGCTGAGAGAAGATCGAAGCTAGAAAGAGTGCGAATATCTCTCTCTCTCGCTCTATCTTCTTATCTCTCTAATCTCTCTTCTCTCTCTCTCTCTCTATTCTCTCTCTCTCTCTATCTCCTCTCTCTCTCTCTCTCTCTCTCTCTCTCTCTCTCTCTCTCAGAGTGGTGAGGTTGGACTGGTCTGGTCCAGTCAGACCCAGTGGGATCATGCTGGGCTATGATGTCCTAAGACGGACCCTGAGGTCATGTGCCATCACGTCAACAGGGGTCACTGCGGGGGAAGGGTCAGGTGGTGTAAAGTTCAGATGTTCATACCTGCAGTGTCCTGCCTCTCATGGTGTGTGTGGGACGTCCTGCTTCCATCCTGACACTCAGGTGATTATGTTCTGGACAATTTATCATATATGAGGCTATGGAATTCATTCAGTTGTTTATTGTCTACTAATCACACACACTTTGCATGGACAATAATGCATTAACTATGCTGGGATAAATAAAGGAACAAAATATACAGGTTAAATACAGCAATGATTGTTCTGGGTACTGCATTTTTCCCTTCCTAAGTTACATAATAAAGGTATCTTTTTTTGTCTGTCATACATATTAATCCCTTTGCGAGACATAACACTAAATTCGATTGACAATGTTTTATGAATTGCACCTGCTCTGCTTTTTTGCTTTTTAATCTTTATTTTTCCATAATCCTCTATATGCCCTTTTCACCTGAATCCAAGAGCCTCTTTACACTAGACCACGTCATGAGTAATCTCTAAAACCTTAACTGTTCAACAAAAACATTGTGTAATACAAGATAGAAAGTCAAGGATCTTTACTTTGTCTGCTGATTTGAAGTGAACAATACATTGTTGCTATGTACTCCCTCAGGATATTACAGAAACACATGCAAATAAACATGGAGACCCACAGACAAATGCACACTCTCACATTTCCACTTCTACTGTAAGAGCATGCCATTTCAGTGGGATGCACGGTCATCCTCCCAGCGATTAATTTCTCTAAACAGATTAACTTGTCATTACATTGAATGCCAGCCAAGTTGGCATTGTGAAAGCATTGTGAAATGTACCCCTGCAGCACCCAATGGCATGAACAATTACAACATTCAAGCTCACATGTACAGCACAAATATAAACATACACAACTGCCTAAGAAAATAAATGCTATACTAAAAACATGTCATCATATATACCTCCACTATGTATACCAGTGGGGCCTTAAATAGGACAAGTCCCCATCATGATCAGACGGACACCATTTTGTCAGATAGTCCCATGTTTTCAATGCACACACATCATTTTGTTTAACTTCACAAACTTTCTTAAATGTGTGTGTCCGCCAGGTTTGCTGCAGTGGATTATTGAACACTAAGAAAGCACATCATCAATGCTGCGAGGGCAGTTACCTGACTTTGAGTAATTCCTCCAGTCCAGTCTGCTGCAATGGAAAACTGCTCCCAGCTCTCCCTGACCACCAGTGCTGTGGAGGATACTATGTTCATGTAAAAAACAGTGAGTGTCAAAACACTTCATACATAAATGGGATTTGCTCTTTTCTACTTGACTTGAGTCTAATCTTTTCCATGTCGTTCAAAGGTTTCCTTCATCTGTCTTTGTCTTTGTAGATGAGAACTGCTGCCCTGACCCCTCGCAGGGCCGGGTCGCTGTGGGGATGGGTGACAGCTGCTGTGGGGGGGTTCCTTACTCCACAAAAGGCGGTCAGCTCTGCTGTCGTGGGAGCCTCCATGACGGCTATGGGGTACGATGCTGTGGAGGCCAGATTGTAGATGATACACTGGTGTGCTGCGATGATGCCCAGAGGGGGGAAGTGCATATATATACCCCAGGTGAGTGATGGAAACACAGAGACAAGCAGAGTCATCCACCTCTGTTCAAAAGTATTTTTTTGTGGGGATGTCAAAGGATTCTGTACTGAATTTGTTGCCCTAATAATGAACATTTTGGTGAAGTTTAATGGGATGCTGAGGGTTTAAGTGTTTGTCTTCAGAAAAATGCCCTTTTCTCAGTAAGGTAGTTATTCTGACTCATAACAAAAGTTTAATTCATGGTGGCTTCTTAGTCTTTATTAGGGGATAAGATATAATATAATAGGACAAGAGAGTGAAGCAAAGACATTTGAGGTAGACACATGGTGCAGGTACGCGGGGTCGTTTCCCTTTCTTCCTCTCCCGCAGTGTCCCAAAGCACCCGGATACCATGGCACAGATGGGACTGTGTGTGTGTGTGTGTGTGTGTGTGTGTGTGTGTGTGTGTGTGTGTGTGTGTGTGTGTGTGTGTGTGTGTGTGTGTGTGTGTGTGTGTGGTGTGTGTGTGTGTGTGTGTGTGTGTGTGTGTGTGTGTGTGTGTGTGTGTGTGTGTGTGTGTGTGTGTGTGTGTGTGTGTGTGTGTGTGTGTGTGTGTGTGTGTGTGTGTGTGTGTGTGTGTGTGTGTGTGTGTGTGTGTGTGTGTGTGTCATTAGACATCTTTGTCATGGCAGATGATGATGAAACACACTCGGGATGGCACCGTTGAGGGCACTGCCAAGCACACAGCAGGACAAATACACACTCATTCTCTCTCCTTCACACAAACACACACACAAACACACACAAAGTCAACAGGGTGCCCTCGGCAGGGTTTGCTTAGTGTTGAGTGCCAGAGACAGACACGTGGGCTCTATTCATCACACATAAACAATGGCCCATATGGACAGGCCTATAGTACTACATTAGCCTTTCAGCAAACACACACTGACACACACACACACACACACACACACACAGACACACAGACACACAAGATCCATACCCACCCAAAAATGCATGCGTTCGGACAAAAACAGTTAATAGAAAGCAAGAAAGCAGAAAAACAATGCTTGTTTTTTATTTCATGGCCGTTATCATTTGTATATTCCCTTAGTGCATTTTTTATTTGCATGGAACTGAACAAGACTCTTTTATAGTTTTAACTCTGAAACTCTGATCCCACATACAGGTAATGTTTGGTAATTTAACATGTTATTTAAGAGTATTCTACTCAATAACATCCAAACTGTTCCCTTGTATTCTCCTTAAGTAGATCCTCTTATTCCTTACCCCTAAGCATGCTATATGGTCATCCTTCATCTGAGGTGGCCTCCCAAGGAGTGCATATGCTCGCTTCCTCTCCATCTCCTTTTGTTATTTATTTCCCATCTCCTCTGCTCCTTTGTCATCTTCTTACTTACTTTTCATCAACTTGTTTCTCCATCTCCTCTATGTTTTACCCTGGCCTCTTGCCCCTCCTTTCTCCCCAAACCACCTTAGCTTTCACCCCTCCTTTTCTTTATGTGCCCCCTTCCCATCCACTCATCAGTCATTAGCGTTAGCTTCCCCATTGAGAACATATGGTATGATGGATCGTAGGGCTAGCGGCGCTAGCAAGGCTAAGGGCCATTTCGCAGAGCACTGCGCTGTCGGGGAGCCTTGGGGCCGGCTATGCAACCTCGACCCCACACGTCTGTTTCAAGACACTCACACTAACACACACAAAATACACACAGCAACACCTATTATAGGATATGCTACTTAACCTTGGCATCACTCACTCTCATTGCTGCCTCTCACTTTTTCAAGGGTTTTGTAGTTTCATGATATAGTGAAAGACGGATTTGTGCAAGCAAGAAAATAGAAAGAAAGAAAAGCAAGCTAGAGAAGATTTCATGCAGTTTTATTCAAAATAAATGAGAGTTTATATCGAAAAATAAATGATAGTTTATATCGAAAAAATAAATGATAGTTTATATCGAAAAATAAATGATAGTTTATATCAAAAAATAAAGTTTTAATAAAAAGCTGACAGAAAGAAATATAGTGATGACTACAAAGAAAGTACAATTTCATACAAACAATGAGACATTTAAAATAAATAAAAATGTAAAATTAAACAGAAAATGTTAAAAAACAAGATGAGAAAAGAAAGACAGGATTTAAAAAGCTAAATATTCTTCATATAAAGGAAACTTAAAAAACAGAAAGACAGGGAAAGTGAGAGAAAAAAGCCAGATAGAACAGAAGAGTGGTGAAGAGCTAGATGGAGCAGATTAAAGGAGGAGTGAAGGGTATCCCATTGTGCCCAGCTGATAGACTAGGTTAGGCTGATGTGATTATGGGGTCCCTGAAGTGCGATCTATCACACATTACCGTCCACACTGTCAACAACCATACACACACACTGCAGGGGAACAGCAATGCCGGGAGACAGCCGTCTGGCAACAGATACACGTACCGGCTTGGCTGCACATGTGCACACGTACACACACACTAACACAGCCACACTCACATAGCATGCATGTGAACGCACACTGAATGAAATCCTCAAGAACACTCAGACAAAAAAGAATCAACACACTCACACACAGACACTATTTGAAACAGGAAAGCAGTATAAATTAGGTGAAATAGAATCAGGGTTTGAAACATCATCCAATCTGTCCCAAAGACAAGAAACAAACACAAAGCTGAGCCCAGTGAAAGTGATCCTCTTACAAAGTTAGTTGGGTTTAACTAAGTTTATATAATTCCTGTCCATATTACTCCAATTATAAATAGTGTTTTCTCTCAATAGTTCTTGATCCACATCTGACAGAACATATTTCAGTTTAAATATGTAAACCAACCAAATGGCTTACAATTTCTATTTTAAGGCTTCAAATCTATTTTCCTCCAATTTACAGTTTGAGCGTAACTTGGGAGACCACCTCAATAAATTGTGTAAAATAGATTCTACCTACACGTGCCTTTAAACCCACCTTGTCATAAAACACTAAAATACATAACGAATTTCAAATGGCGGGCCTTGTTTCTATTCTGCCCAGTTTTAGTCTTTTGGGTATTATTGAGATGGTCTCCTATAATCCCTTCTTCAGCGTTCTCTAGTTGTGATAAAATAACACAAAGTATCCATGCTTAATCCCTCCATTCCAAATCTGACAGTTTGTTTAAACAGCTTTCATTTAACTTTCAAGTAGATTAAATAGTGTTTGTTTTTGGACAGGAGTGCCTTCATTTTCTTGCAGCATTTCCTCCTGTATTTCAGGTTCGAGACCAACTTTTAAGCTCCTCATTTGCTCTTCTTTTCTTCTCTCTCAGCGTTTTGTATGTAAGATGTTTAGAAAAGACTTAGGTAAGATTAGATGGTGTTTAACGGATCGTGTGTGGTGTCTTTGGCCTCCCGTTGCTCCCTGACTCCCCCAAAGTCCCCTGCCTCCCTATGTGTGCTCCACTAATCATTTGCCCTCACACTTTGTCTTCATAGTGTACTGTTTTTTAACTCTTCCATCTGCCCTTCAACCCCACCTTCCCCATTTCTCACTGTGGGTGCTAGCATAACTGTCCCTCCCCCCACCTCACTTTTTAAGTGGATCTCAAAAATGTATGCATTTCTTTTAACTCCTTCCCTTACTCCCCTCCCTCTGTCCCAGCCCAGCAGGCCCCATCCAAACGTTCAAGGACGAATCTAAATATCCCTTTTCACCGTTTAAGTGTTAAAAGCCTGGCGGTGCTGGGGTGTTATCTTAACGCGCCTTGCCGCGCCATCATCAGAGCGCGTGATGAAAATGGCTGTGATGATGCTAAAAGAAAAAAGAGGAGGGGGAGAAAAAGTAATAATCAAATATGTTTTTCAAGGGCACAGTGACCATTTGCTGGAGGGAAATTATCCCAGTAGTTAAGCTAGCTCACTCAGAGGCTGGCGGAGTTGTGAGAGTGTATGCGTTTGTGTGTACAAGTGTGTGCAAGTGTCTGTGTTTTATTACTTTAAGTTGGTGCATGCATGTTTCACTTTCTGTATGTGGCTGTCAGATTCTCTATATGTATCTGAATGTGCATTTTTACATGTTTCTCTCTGCTGAGAGACTCGTATGTCCTTTCATTGTTTCCGCCAAAATATTCTCATCAGTTTCTGTGTGTGTATGTCTTTCTGTTTGTTTGTGTGCGTGTGTGTGTGTGTGTGTTTATCATTGCCAAAAGGCCCTCATCAATGATGGGTAGCAAATGGCAAACAGTAGTGCATTCCAAACAGCAGCGTCTGGCTGCTTTAGAAGATCGAGTACTCTCTGAACACAGGAAGACATTTCTCTCTCTGTTAATGTATTTATGATGATGGCTTCTCTATTAGGTTTACTTTAATGACTGGCAAGAAAAAAAACTGTGTGTGTGTGTGTGTGCGTGTGTGCGTGTGTGCGTGTGTGTGTGTGTGTGTGTCATTTTCCTGCTTCTGTCATGTGGGTTTCGCCTCTTTGGAGAACTATGAGCAAATATTATGATTTCTGCCAATAGTCACCAAAGTACATTTTGGGAGTATCATTCACAAGCCAAATATCTTCCAAACATTCGGAAACTAAAATAGCATTTTCCGAAAGAGAAATCAAGAGAAAATTAACTGTTCAAGACCAATTCTAATGATTTCATTTTTTCTTTCGGATATTCCTTGTTATTTGTTGCCTCGCATTATCTCCAGTCTCCTGCTAAATGTTATAATGTGGTTTATTCTGACACAGATTAGTCCATCACCCTTTAAAAAAGCAGAACGTTTTTTCCACTGGAGATACACCCAAGACTTTGAACCATTTCAATAGACATATAGGTAATAAAGAATCTACTTGCTGGCCAGCATTTGTTTTAAGCATCCTGGTGCTACATGGGGCCTCTGCCACACCCTTTACTCAGCCAAATCCAAGAACACGATAATGACAGAGATGGATCACGTGAAGGAGGCGGGATATCAGCCATTGTGTTGTCAGATCCAATGTCTCCAATGCAGGGTTGAGGGCAGACTTGGTGTAGACCGTAAAGATTATATATTTGAA